GGGAGGGACTTCGCGGGGAGGGGCGCAGCAGCGACTGGGGGGCTGCGGGCGCCAGGGCTCGCTAGTATTGCACACGAAGCTAATCAGAGAAGAGCCTAGCAGAGCAGGGCTCAGCCCGAGCCACCCTTTGTCTGGGTTGGGGGCCCGTGGCAGGGAGGATCAGGGATCTGAGGGGAGGGACTGGGACAGGACGGAAGGGTCCGGAGCTGCGGCCACCACAGCGGAGCCAATTTGGTAGTGGGGTGAGTGTGTTAGGGGGGAAAAGCAAATCTACGAAGCCACTGTAGGGCATGGGGCCTGTCCCAGGCTGTGGGGAGGAAAGGAGCGAGAAAGAACCTGGGAGGCTTAGCAGGGGTTGGGGGATCGTCCAGACAAGGAGTCCAGGAGCTAAGGTGAGTCTGCGGGACTTAGTTTGGAGCGATTGCTGAGGTCTCCTCCACTGAGGGTGGAGGGCTGTAGGTTAGGGGCCAAGAGGTTGGTGAGGGAGCAGAGTTTGACCTTTCTACCCATAGTGGTCCTCTGTGGGAACAGCCACTCTAGCTTATGGAAACAAAATATAGAGCAGCTAGCAGCAGTTCTCTCTGCACGGGCTGAGGGTGGAAAGACAGGGGCAGGGATTCTTCCTGTCACCTTTCTAGGTCAGGCCTGAAATGGGTATCTTTAATTTTGAAAGGAAGGAAAGACAGAATGAGCCTAAAAGCTTTACCTGTACCGACACCCACTTCTCCCACCTCCTGGCCTAGCAGGTGTCTGAGGGTACAGACCCCATGGTATTCTGGGACTTGTTGTTGCTGGCCTTGCTCCTTGGCATGTTGGGAGCTGTAGTCCTTGCCAGCCACAGCGTGGCACAGCTGTTTTGTGCTTGCTGCTACCCATCCCCTGCACAGAGGTTGAGGTTTAGCCTACCCTGCCCTGCCCCCCTTCAGTCCTGCCCCATGAGTCAGCTTGAAGCTGTGATACAGAGCCAGAATGGCTTTGTGGCAGGGGAGTGAGTCTTAAAGCATCTAAGTGACAGGGTGGGAAATGAGAAGCCTCTAGGGTAATGAGCAGGTGCCAGGCATGCTAGGGTCAAGTAGTGCATCATGTCATCACCTGGCTTCCCCAGGGCAAGGGCTCAGAAGGGAAACTGGAATGACCTGGAAGTTGGGATATTAAGGAAAAGCTGAACCTGTATGGCTTAGGTGAAGGACAAGAGGGGTAGAGATGAGTGCAGGCTGTATGCTCAGACAACACTGCCATTAGTGTTCTGCCTATTCCAGTTATCCCACTCACCACAAAGGACCAGAATTGTCTTAGGATCTCAATTTTAATGAAACCTTTGTGAAATGGGAACATGTGGGGTGCAATGATAGGAATAGTTGGTATAGTAAAGCTTTTTAGTCCCTGAGTGCAAATGTCTCCTCTCTCCCTGCTTCCCATTCCCATTTCTGTTGTTGCCGGTTTTCCTTGTACAATTTCTGCTCCTTTCATCCTGGGAGCTTTTCTCTGCACTGTCAGTATTGCTGCTCAGATTTCCAGGACTTGCACTGTTTTTTTTTTTTTTTTTTT